GAAAGCAGTTCACACTCATTATTGAGTTAACCTATAAGCGAGGTACATTAGAAACTTTACGTTGGAATTAGGGTGACATTTAAACGAACAACCTCACTCAGGGATAAGCTTTGCTGGCTGGCTGGCTTAAGGATTCGATAGAACCAATTAAACAAAATAATCTAATCTATCAAATTCCATGTAATGACTGCGAGGTCAGTTACATAGGTCAAACTAGCCGATAGGGGTCAGATAGAATAGTGGAACATAGGAATTTAGCTAGATATAGAATGAGATCAATAATCTAGAAAACAACTAGCCTATTGCAATGTATACATTAACACATACAATCGCACAATACTTAAGTCTAATATGGTTAGGTGCACAGAGAGAGACTGCTTACTGAATCTTTGTTCATCGAATCAACACCCCATCCAACACATGTAATAGAAATGACGCAACAATCATACCAGAGATATGAAAAGTTTTACTACCAATAAAAACAAACAATATGAGGACAGGACTATAAACATCAGATGTCGAAAGTAGTGTGATATGATTACGAGTAATGATTTATGCTAAAAACATCATCAAGTCAGTAGTACTGTATCATTATGTGTTATAAATCAGTGGCCAATGTTGGTTGGATGGAGGTAATATGGTAGGAAGCCCTAGACCTAGGTTTCATGCTTGTTGGCAGTCGTCAGCAATGCGTATCTGTAACCTCGATGGAACTGATGCCTCACCAGAGATTCAAACCCGCATCACCCAGTGTTGTAGTCATCAACGTTACCATTGAGCTATTCGGGATGCGACTGACCTTCTATAGGAGTCGATTAAATACATTAATTGGCAAATCTAATGTGGAATTGAAGTTAAACACTTCAAAGGGAGCGCGTATTCGTGACTTCAACAGAGGAGAAGCTCTGGCAATCCAGCATTACAAGCCTCATCCTATTCTTTAATTTTGCCTTGACCGTAGTCTCCCCAAGACAGTTTATTCATATCTTTGTTTACTTACCGTAAATGTATAAGCAAATTTCGATAACCCTGTTTTAACCTTCTAGGCATTATCACTTTGTCATTTCACTGAGCGTTTTTGACGACTTTATATGGATTCATTAGTTATCGATGGATACATATTTTGTTGTAACTATGATTACGATGTATTGTTGTTAAAAATGATTCGTCCATAAGTAAATTTTCTTCGCTGAGTTATGTTTCATCAAATTAGAATGACTTAAAATCCCTAAACTTGTATAATATAAAAGTTAAGTACTATAAAGCATTTCATTTACTTGAAAACAGAATTATTTTCAGAGACATCACCTAATGCCTAACACTAAAGAATACAAGAGGGTGTAGGTCACCTAGAGTATTATTTGAACTCGATAGATTTCATGATAACGATACTGAACGCTAGTTTTTTTTCCCCTTTAAGGCTAATACAGTTTCGTTCAAATTTACAACAGTATTGAACATCAACAAGATGAAAACACTATAACCTACTCTCTTTTTTAGTCTGTTTGTTAGATGTAACACGCACTGAAGGAAACGTATTACTTACTGGATAACATTTCAGATATAATTTATTGTTCATATTCACATCAGGTAGCTCCATAACTTTGAGATATAGTTTATCTAGTTTTAATACTGTCTCCTTCTCTGTGATGACAAGCATAGTAGAATTTTCAATATACCTGGTGCAGATATAGAATCATTTGTATTGGATGTATTCGATGTTGATTCGATGAACAAAGGATTCGGTTATCAATCTCTTCCTCCACCCAATGAACTTAGTTTTTAATACTGTCTCTCTATTCCACCATATTGGATGTAACTAGATGCAAAGCTGTAAATCACTTTTTCTCTAAATTCTTTAACTTATTATTATTTGTCCTCTGGGTTCCTAGTGGAACACAGGGATTCAGTAGCACATCTCCATTCCACTCTGTCCTCTGAAATCTTTTCAACTTGACTCCACGACTGCCCACAAGCTCTCATTTCTTCCTCACATGATTTCCTTCATATCACCCTCGTCTCGGACGCCCAACTCGTCGTTTCCCATCTAGGTTCCACTCAAGTGTCTGGCCTGGCGCATGATGTCCTCGAATGGTCTTCTCATTGCATGTCCAATCCATCTCCACTTTATTCTGCATGTTTGTTGAGCGAGCGATAGGTTCTTGGTTGGTTCGTCGCCAGCCAGCCAGCCACAGTCCCTTGATGCTTATTCTTCCTGGCCATCTGAGCTTCAGTAACGAGCCAGCGTAGGGGGCAGTTGTTGATGAATATCTGTAGTTTGTTGGAAATGCTTTTCGTAACGCGCCAAGTCTTTGAAGCATATAGAATCACTAACTTACTTGACTGAATTAGTGTTGAAAATGCGGATCCTGTTCACGCTTTTTGCTGAGTGCAGAAGATCTCAACACTGGTTTCAGGCTAATGAACTCCTGTCTTGCTGTCTTTCCGATCCTGGCTGCTTTGACGTCCTCATCTGTGCTGCCGCCACTGCCTGTAGTTGAAACGATGCTGCCTTGCGTAAATGGGTAAAAGAGGCTGCTTCCTTTAAGTTTCTCCCGTCGATGGTGATTGGAGCTTGTTGTTGTTGTGGTGGTGGTGTTGGTTGGGTATCTTCATCACCTCCATCTTCTCTACATTCACTTGGCGTCCTGTCTTCCTTCGCTGCCCTGCCTCTTCTGTCAACTTGTTAGTTTCCACCTGTAGATCTTCGAGTTTGTGTGGCATTAGACATAAGTCATCGGCGAAATCCAAATCTTCTAGGTTCTTTTCTGTGGTCCAGCGTATCCGCCTCTTCTCGCTCCTCACAGTTTGTTGCATGATCCAGTCTAGTCGACCATAATCAGGAATATCATAGATGATAGTAGGCAGCCTTGTTTTACTCCTGTCTTCACTTCAAAAGCATCACTGAGCTTTCCATTGTGAATCACACTTGGTATGTGGCGTCTTCATATAGTTGGTGAATGAGGTTGATAAAGGTTTGTAGTATTCCGTAGTGTTGAAGCAGCTGACTGCCAAATTACTTGTCGGTCGACGCTGTCAAAGGCCTTTTCAAAGTCGATGAAGTTGAGTTGAGGTAGAGAGTTGACTGCCATTCTATGCTCTGTTCTATGATGATGCGTAGCGTTGCAATTTGATCCGCATATGATTTGTACTTGAAGCTAGCCAGCCTGTTCCGGTCGTAGGTTTGAATCCAGCGCATGCTTTAATCTCTCCAGGATGATGCAGCTTAATATTTTGCTTGTGGTGGACAGGATCTACTAGCCTTGATTTAGACAGTCTTTTGTTCAGTTATCCCAGTTAATCCTGTTCGACTAATTTGATATCGTAATCATTTCAAAAGATTCGGTAAATTAAATTATTTTGCATATTTGGAGCAAATAATCTACAGAGTTTGTTTCTAAGCGAGTAGCATTTGAACCAAGTCTATCTGCCAACTCAAACGAGTGAATCGTATACGATCAATAGACCCATCATATATAGACAGATGGGTCAAGCCAGGTTGCACACCAACAGAACAACTTATACAGTTGTCTATGCACAATACTAGACGAATCATTGATATTTATGTGAAATCTGTGTAACAGATAAGATAATAAAGTTTTATAGTTGAACAAAATTTTATCATGTTCCATTGGTACTCTTAAAATCTAAAACTGATTACAACTGTTTACCTGATTTTCATGGTTTATTAACCATTTGAACAAATATTCTTGACAGTTTTTAAAACAGAGTTAAAAACAACTTTTTTCGATTTCTCCTTTACTGTGAAAAGATGTCTCAATCACAACAGTTGTTTGTAGTTAAATTTTAACGTAACTAATTGTTATTTAACAAATAGATAATATAGGTGAACTTTGCAAAGTTGTAGTGAAAAGCCATGACCTGTGGGGATGTTAGCCAAGTCAGGTATAAGAATAAATACTCACTAGTTGTATTCGACCCGGTGGTAACGTGGTCACTAAGAGAATCCGGTGATACTGGGTCTGCCGTAAGCTTATGAGTTTCAAAATAAGACAAAATACATCCCCGGTGCTTCCAGACTGTCAATAGTTCTATGAATGATATCAGTGCATGATGTAAATTTCTTTTAAGTGAATCAATTTTCCAAAGAACCTCCAAAAGAGATCGATAGATAACTTCAACACGGTTCAAATTGCAACATATCAGCAAATGGAATAAGAATGTTCGATTCTAACCTTTCCCCAACCCACATACACCTGCTGTTTCAGTTAACGTTATGCGACGTTGCAACAGACGGTGACTAAATATGCTTAGATGAATAGACAGATAACACTACTGATACAAATGCACTATGTGCCAGTTGTCTCCAACTGGCTAATAATAGCAATTACCAAATAAAATGAAGACAGTTATGTTGGTGTCGGTGATCATGACTGGAATCACAGGTCTAAGTACTCGAGCAGGGTCAGTTAGGCTATGCAAACACAGAAAGCTAGCCAGCTCAAAAGTGATAATTCCTAGTAAGCTAAGGAATTTAGAAAAAAGTTCAACCATAGCTATGCATACGATTACACACAATCACGCAAAAGAATGGGACAGGATAAAACCCTTAAAACTAGCATAACATGATGGAGGGAGAGAATGATAAGTGAATCTTTGCTTATCGAATCAACATCTAATACATGCAACAATAGGAATGACTTAGCACCTGTTCCTGGTATATGGAGAATCTTACTACGCATATCACAAAGGGGAAGATGAAATTAGGACTATGTAAAGGATATTCAAAGTTGTGTAGTGATCCTGATGTGACTATGGACAGTAAATTATGTCCGAAATGTAATCCAGTAAACAATACTGTTCCTTCACTTTGTGGTATATCTAACAAATGTATAAAAATGGGATTTCAGTGGTTTTATTCCACCCTTATTGTGTGATTGTATGTGTTAATGCATGCGTTGTAGTGGCCATATTGTTTTTGTGGATCACTGATCTTATGGGGGGTCTGTTATTGTGGATTTGACTAAATTCCTATGTTCTGCTAATCTAACTGACCCTGGCTGGCTACTTTGACATAGCATATCTACCTGATCACGCAGTCATAAAATGGAATCAGATAGATAGATAGACAGATAGAAATCTACTGATACACAATTGAATTCTAACGTTGAAATATTCTACACCAGCGTCCTCTCATACTGCTCATCTGGGATAAGACTGAAATGTAACATGGACACTTTACATAAAGAGTAAAAAAAACCAGTCATATTGAAGACAATGGCAAAACAGAATGAAGGAAGTAAATGAAGTCACCAAAAATATTTGAATTATTCAAAGAAAAACAAAATAAAACATGATTACATAATTGTTAGCATCAAAATTCCTAATTTCGGTTCGTTCTGTATTTAATTAATAATAATGGTAGAAAATAATAGTAATAATAATAATAATAATGGCATCAGAGAATTATGCAATTTCGTCTTTGTTGTAATTCATTATACACGTGTGAAATTGGCGTCTTTCTCTTTCTCTCTTTACTATGATTCACACTTGAATGTAGTTTTAAATTTCACAATGAAACAGACATTTCCACAGATGATTCCGTAGGATTTTTCATTACTTTAGGTTCATCAGAAGTTAAGAGATATGGGACAAAGCAAAATAAAAAGAATATTGAGTAAAAAACAAACAAACAAACACGTGAACAAGATAAAGTAAAGAAAAGACAACAGATGACTTGCTTGTCAAATTATACTCTTCGACAAAATAACCTTAACAGTCAAGGTCATGTGGTGGATGGATGGATGGGCAGGCGGGCGGACGGACGGACGGGAAACCATTTTGTCTATTTATAATAATTTAATCTTTCTAAATTTTTAGTCCTTTTTCTTCATATTCAGCACGAGTTAACCATGTTGTACAGGCGTTCTCTTTCATCATAATACTCGCCAAAACTGATCCACCTATGAATACCATATGTTTACGTTGAGGTGGGGCTTCAATACATATTTTGAATTTCTAAAAGATAACAGTGAAAATATCAACAAAAAAAAAGAATAAAAGGTATTAAAACAAAAACAAAAGATGAATGGATGAAATAAATAATGATTATTGAGTTTTCAACTAGGTCTCGTTAAACAGGAATTTAGACACGATGCAAGTCAAACCGATCGCTCTGTCAATGTTACAGAAAAACTTCTCTTCTTCCTTTGAAACTGGAATAATCAGCAATTTAAATGAATCTGATAGGAGTATATCTAATCTTTATACACTAACTAGTAACTCTATTAATCAAAGGTGGTTTCTTCTATGATTTCTGATATTTTATCGTGGACATTTCTTCACTTCATCAAAAACTTATCAAGTTAGTGGTGAGGATATTAGCAAGCGCAGTAATGAAATCTCCAAGATTAAAATATCAATACTGAACTTCGGATAGCGAAAAATTAGATCCTGATGCTTTAAATCGCTTCAGGTTTCAAATAGCCTTCTAAACTGTAGTGAGAGCTAGAGGACCAATATCTGCGCGTTCAACGCACATCCAAGCTGGATATTGCAGCAATTAAAGCACGGCTATGGAGTTCAGTTCAACTGTTCTTCAGTGTGTTCGATTTAACATTCTAACCGCATATCAGATATCTATTTCCAGTGGTTATCTCACTAACCAATCAACGTTTTATGCTTATTAGTATCCATTGAAAACCCTAATTAGTTGTTGAGCATTACATTATCACAATACTTTCTCCAGCTTTTTTGTTTGTAAATAAGTGGGAACTGTCTGCCAAGAAGCAGTAACCCAAAGATAAGACTATTAACATCCCCAAAGTAGATAAAGGACATTCTACAGTGCAGAATCACCTCAATTGACTACAAGAAAGGCAGGTGGAACATCTTAACACTAGTCCATATCACTACATGAATGCTACAAAAACACAAAACATAATCCAATAAACTGAAATATGAAACCAAAAAGCTACTGCAATCCATAAAAGAGGAATTCGATGTTTCGTTTCTCGTTTTTATTGATACTAAAATGGAGTGACCTCTGTAGATTTTATGGGTTATCGAAAATCCCTTCTCGGTCGGTTGTAGATTTTACTAACTTACATCACAAATCATACAACTATTCGAAAAGGAACTAAAATAGACAGGAAAAAATTTGTTTGAATTCAGGAATGAAATTATTTTATCTTACAATGAAGAAGAGGAATAACTGGGAAGTTTTGATGCTTTCTCATCATTCAATTACCTTACCTATTAAGTATGCGTTGGACATCACTTATAAGCTAATATTATACGATACTAACCTCAGATTATGTTACTCATTGGATCCAAGAGAAACTTCAGACTATGATGAAGTTTACGAGAGATCTGCACACATATTATTATTATTTGTCCCATAGGTTCCTAGTGGAGCATAGGGCCTCAGTTGCACGTCTTCATTCCACTCTGTTCTCTGAAATCTTTCCAACCTGGCTCCAAGACTGCACAGAAGCTCTCATTTTTTCCTCACATGATTTCCTCCATGTCACCCTCGTCGTCTCGGACGCCCAACTCGTCGTTTCCCATCTGGAGTCCACTCGACGGCCTGACCTGGCGCGTGAGGTACCCGAATGGTCTTCTCAATGCATGCCCAATCCGTCTCCACTTCCTTCTGCATACTTGTTGGGCGATGGATTTTTGGTTCATTCGTTGCGAGCCAGCCACAGTTCCTTGCTCATTCTTATTATTCTGGCCATCTATCTGATCTTCAGTGTCAGTATCGAGTGAGCGTAGGCGGCAGCTGTTGATGAGTATCTGTAGTTTGTTGGGAATGCTTGTCGTAACGCGCCTAGTTTCTGAACCATATAGAAGCACTGAGTTGCTGTCTTTCCGATCCTGGCTTTGACATCCTCATCTGTACCGCCGCCACTGCCTGTAGGTGAAACGTTGCTGCCTTGTCTAGGTAGGTGAAAGGGACTACTCCCTTTAGGTTTCTACCATGGATGGTGATGGTTATTGGGTGTCTTCATCACCTCCGTCTTCTCTACATTCACTTGAAGTCCCGTCTTACCTGCCCTGCCTCTTCCGTCAACTTCTTGGTTTTTGCCTGTAGATCTTCGAGCTTTTCCGACATCAGACATAAATCATCATCGGCAAAATCCACATCTTCTTCCGCAGTCTTTTTATCGATCCAGCCACCGTATGCCCATCTCACAGTTTGTTGCGTGATCCAGTCTGGACTAGTCTAGTCCAGTCGACTACAATCACGAAGATAATCAGTGATAATAGGCGGCAGCCTTGTCTCACTCCTGTCCCCTGTCTTCACTTCAAAAGCATCACTGAAATTTCCATTTTCAATCACACTTCGCACGTAGCATCTTCATATAGCTGTTGAATAAGGTTGATAAGGTTTTGTGGCACTAAAACCGTAGTGTTGAAGCAGCAACTGTTAAATTACTTCTCAGTCGACACCATCAAAGGCCTTTTCAAAGTCGATGAAGTTGAGTTGAGGTAGAGAGTTGACTGCCATTCTATACTCTGTTCTATGATGATGCGTAGCGTAGCTTTGTAATTTGATCCGCACATGATCCGTTCTTCCTGAAACCAGACAGCCAGCCAGTCTGTTCCGGTCGTAATTTTGAATCCAGCGCAACTTTTAGTCTCTCCACGATGATGTGGCTTAATATTTTGCTTGGGATGGACAGGAGCATGATTCCTCGCCAGTGTCTGCAAACGCTTAGATTTCCCTTCTTTGAGAGTTTGACAATGTAGATATTCTTCCAATCGGCAGGTACCTTTCCTTCCTTTTACAAATTTTGGCAGTGTTACTTAGACACTTTACTACGCCAAATTTAACTGACATAGGGTAAGAGGGTTTGAAGTCTAAGAACCGTCTCCCTCTATGTCAGTTAAAGTTGGTGTAGTAAAATGTCTAAGTAACACGGCCAAGAAACTTACTAGTAAAACAGATCTTAAACAAGGAATCACATAAATAATATATACCTTACTCACCAACAATTAGCCTGACAAGTTAATTGATAACTTCTTCGGGATCGTAAGAAAAATGTGAGCAACACAGCTGTTGAAAACAGTAATAATAACGTCTATAATAGTGATGGCAATATTGTGAAGAGAGAATTGGAAACCTCTACAGTATTTACTGGACAAAGAAGGCACCTCAGATGCACTATGTGACAGTTGTCTCCAACTGGCTAATAATGACAATTATGAAACAGAATAAAGACAGTAATATTGGTCTCGATGAATAGCAGTAGTATCTAGGACGCGCGTTTCGTCCTATTTGAGACTCATCAGCTGGATTTACCTTCACCTCAGTGAGTGATGGTTTCCAGCCTGAACCTATTTCAGCTAACATTGTGTATGCATAACACGTGTCCCAACCATATCACTCGATTTTTTCTACTATTATCATAGTACATAGAAGTTCTCATTATTATTCTAGAATTAGCGATTAACTCCAATATCCTGAAATAGTCTAAAGCTTAACAGGAACATTAAATAGTAGTAAGTTTAGACTTTATCAACCAACCGGTTAATACTGTACAAGAAAATTACTATTCATAATAAATAGTGTTGAAGAGATTTTAATTGGTAAGCGGGAAAGTTAATGAGACAGATTTTTCTTTGTAATAATTAAAATAAAACTTGAGGATACTTACTGAAAATCGTTCTGTATCACCTTTAAGTACATTTTGTAAATATAATTGTTTAATTTCACGTTCTAATCGACTAGGCAGACCAGGATACATTGTACTACCACCGCTTAATACAATATGCTTATAAAATGCTGGTCTTGTATCAATATCAGCAGCTTGAATTGTATTGAATAGTAGTTCTGCCATACCAACACCTTCATGATCAATTAAATGAGGTTGAAAAAGAGCTTCAGGTGCACCGAACAATTCTCCACCTACTTTGATCACACGACCATCAGGTAGCTGTACGAGAAGAAATAAAGAGATGAAAAAAAAGGTATATATGTTGCTATTTTCGAAAAATACTCATTATTCACGCTTAGTAAAGAAATCTGATTAAAATCGTCTACAAAATGTAGATATATGACATATAATTATCTCGATAGTGAATAAACTACCGTGAAGTTGAATTAAAGTAACTAGAGCTGTTAAGATGATAGTTTACGTTGTCTGTTTTTTGTTTCTACACAACTGAACAGATTGTCTCTTCAAGATGTTTATATGAGAATAACCTAGAAGGTTTTCCAAAAAAATATGATACAAAAGGTAAATTTTATGTCCTAGCGAATAAAGCTTTAGCATTTGAAGTGATGGCTACTAGGTTCAGATTTTAGTGGGAACTATATCGCTCACTAGGGGTGCAGGCAAGTATCCAGTTGACGACTTCTAAAAGGGAAAAAACATGCGTTCTGGATTCTACTGCTGGCTATCAATCACATTAACACGAAATGACACATTTTAGTTTGTTATTTTAACTATCTGAGATAGCCGTGATTTGTCAGACTAGTATTGTGACTAGGTGATGATTGAAAGTGAAATAAAAATTTGAACCGCGGCCGGATTTGAACCAACAGCCACCAGTTTTCCTGCTTGATACTCTACTAACTGAGCTACGAGGTCCGACTGCTGACGAGATTTTTATTTCACTTCATTTCACCTTCAGTCATCATCCAGTATCAACACCAGTTTGCCAAACCATGGCTATCTCAGGTAGTCAAAATGATAGTATGATGCTCCTCCTCTCTAATTTAGTGAGATTTGGATGACAAATCTTGACTAGGCAGCCAGCGTGAATACGACAACAAATCTGTCTACCTATTTTATCTGCAAATTACACGTCGAGTTATCATCTGTCAGTACATTAACAGTATTACAGTACACTACTGAGTAGGCAGTTACTGATCCTGTGGAAATAAAAATACTTACGATTTTTTAATATTCACCATGTTGCGAATTATCATCTCCGATGAGTCAATAATTAAAGAAGTTTACCAATTTACAGCCACATCAGAGATTATAAGGCAGATAAACACACAAAATCAATGTAGAACCCCACAACATAGAAGTGTATCAGTTGAAGCTGCCACAGCAGGATGTAAACAATGAGTGGACAAAAAAAAGAGGTGATATTAAAATACACGATAGGGTATAGGATAGGAAAAGGAATTTGAAAATCAAGGTTAGTGAAAATCTTCAAACTTTCAAACAGTGAATAAATCTGTGTCATTATGATCGATTTTCAGCCATATTACCGAGTCTCCAACCATTGATTTCTATTATCTTGATGAACCCAATCAGGCGGTCTACAATCAATCAATCAATATCAACATAGGACCAGGCATTACTGCGTAATGGTCTGAGTTGCCACACCTCATATCAGTACATTAAGTAGAGAAGTAGTGAGGTGAAGGATGAAGACAAGAGAATGCAGTCAAAAGAAATATAAAGTACGGAAAGAAAGAAAAGGGGAATAAAAAATTGGTGAGATTCGGTATAGCGTCGTTAAGATGAGGATAATGTGCATACATCTGTGCCACTCACATCGGTTCTGAGCCTTGCGATCACCTATAGTCTCCAACCACTGGTTCCTCTTGTCCCGCCGACTCCAACCACCTAGTCTGCATCGTCCTACATAGCTTAAACAGTCAGAGACTTCATACATTGGTGCCAGTTTTTAGTCTGGCCACCTCAAGCTTTTTTCCAGCCTGGAAGTACTTTGGCCAACATTGTGTGAGGAGGCATTCGGTGACTGGGCATACGTAGTACGTGTCCCTACCATCTCAATCGATGAAGGTTTATAACCTCGTCAACTGATTTACCTCTACTCCCTAAAACTTTACACCTAACTTCTGCATTACTCACGTTGTGACACCACGGAATACGGCCTATACTACGAAGGCAACGGTGGTCAAACACTTGAAACCAGCCTTTTCATATCTTCCACTTTCAATGGCCATGTTTCACAGCCATACAGTAGAACATAGCCAATTGCTGTGCAGTACACGCAATTTTCAGTAGACAAATGGATACCACGGCGGCGCCATAGGCGGTCTGCACCTCCCCTCCATATAACTGAGATCAATAGTCAAAGACTTCATGGACTAATACCACTTTTTTTATGGTCATCCTGACCTCAATTCTATGTCGGTTAACATTGCACGTCAGGGAAGGTGATGGGTCAGCATGCGGAACATATGATAGGCCATTTCAACTGACTTACGTTCTTTGCCCCGTCACCTTCGCATAACATGGACATTGTTCACATGGCGATTCCAGTGTATGTGAGCAATGCTGCGAAGACACTTGTGATCGAAAACATATAACCTCTTCATATCACTGTAAAAGTAAACCCCATCGTGCTTTGTTCTCTTCTAACCTTTATAGATATGACTTAGGCGGTATATATATATATATATATATATATATGATCCCACCTACTTATTAATCTGTATTTTGTATTACTAAGATTAGAATTCACGGTGGGTTCATATCAGTTGTATTGAAGTTACAGACAATGGAATTAAATCTTGTCTGTCTAGACGATATCAGTCATTTCGTGAATTAAAAAATTCAGTCTCGCCTGAAATAAAGATTATGTCTGAGGCATCTTCATCTGAGGAAGTGGTTTCTTCAACTTGTCTAGTATATAAATGAATTTTGATAGATGAACATTCATACTATGATAATCAGTATAAGCCATGACAGTTTGCTGGTTAGTAAAATCTTATCATAATTACGAAGTACACTCAACAACTATGTACACGCTCATGCAATAGGCAATGAGGCAAACTTATTGTTTAAGGGTCGGGTGATCAAACCATGGTAAGTGGAGCGCGGTTCTTATCCATAACCCACTTGGTTGAAAGCCAATAAAACATAACTCCACTGTGATGAATACTCTAAGTATGGCGACAGTAAAACACCTTCATGCTCAGTTAAGGGTCGAGTGTAGTGCACAGTGATGCGTTCTTTCCTAGTGTATATTGGATGTGTTACATGACCATTTACATTCGAAGATTTGCCAAGATTAAAGTTAATTGGTCACTGTTACCTTCGTGAAGGAATAAGAAATTGCATGTAAACCAGGCGCATTATGAAACTTAATTGATTAGAATAACTGAGGTATAACAGTTATATCATCAACCAACTGGTAAAAATGTGACAATCTGAAGATAATGGTTAGTGTGCATATTCAAACTTTAGAAGAAGCCAAGGAGTGAATATATCTGCGCCGATTCGACCGGTTTTCAGTCATGCACCCAACATTCTTTAACCACCGACTCTTTTCGCCTCAAGGACTCCAAATCAATCAGTTTACATCTTCCCATATGACAAGCCAACAGTAAGAGACTTCATCAACTGGTGGCTATGTCTTCGTCTGGTCATCCTGAACCCTCTCCTAACCTAGTCCAACTTCCCCCGGCCTAGTGTAGCACGTCGAGGTAGGCAGTACTTGCTACAAGGCATCTCAGTAGACTAAGGTTCACGACCTCGTCAGTCGACTGGTCTTTCTTGACTGAGTACCCTTCGTCTGACCTCAAAATCGCTCACATGATGATCCCACCGAACGAGAGCAATGCTACAAAGACACCTATGATCAAAACCTTGTAAAAGCTTCATATCTTCTACTTTCAACGGCCATATCTCACAGCTGTCTAGCAGGACAGAACGGACTGCAGAGCAGTGTACTAGTTCCTTGATAGATAGTCGAATATCTTGCCAACTGGGGCCACCGATGACTCAAGTTGGCGAATGCCAAACGGGCCTTCTGTATCCCACCTGAGATTTCGTCAGCAAGTGAGGTAGTCAACACATTCCACCACTTTACTCCCTGTCATTAAACTGGGAGTGATAGCAGATCAGTCGTGAAGCATTATCTTACATTTGAAAGGTGCGGAACGTATGACAGCTTAACATATTCAGATTTCTGCTCAAGGCATTCACAAGACCCTGCATTTTGTCAGCATCCTGACTTAACACCTATGGTTCTGTATTTGTATCCTGTCTTTAAGTTATTTAACTGACTATTAACTAGTCTGTTCAAAATGATTGAATTCATTTCTAGTTTTTTTCATTCTTCATTACCAATTGATTACACCTTCCTCCTCCAACCTATTCACAATTCTATTTGACCTGGTTGGGACACGTACTACGTATGCCCAGTCACCGATTGCCTCCTCACACAATGTTGGCTGAGGTGGGTCCAGGCTGGAAAAAGGCCCGAGGTGGCCAGACTAAAAAATGGCACCAATGTATGGAGTCTCTGACTGTTGGTTTAAGCCATGTAGGACGATGCAGACTAGGTGGTTGGGGTCGGCGGGACAAGAGGAACCAGTGGTTGGAGACCCTAGGTGATCACATGGCTCAGAACCGAAGTCAGTGGCGCAGATGTATACACACATTATCCTCATCTTAACGACGCTATACCGAATCTCACCAATTTTTTATTCCTCTTTTCTTTCTTTCCGTACTTTATATTTCTTTTGACTGCATTCTCTTGTCTTCATCCTTCGCCTCACTACCTTTTTACTTGATGTGCTGATATGAGGTGTGGCAACTCAGACCATTACGCAGTAATGCCTGGTCCTATGTTGATAATGATGATGATGATGATGATGATGGTTAAATTATCTCTCTCTTATGCTTATATGCTTCATTCAATGTGTCTTAGAGTTTGAAGTGAATACGTATTTTCGGTAACTTTTCATAAGGCTTTACGCTTACACCTTACAAATTACTCAGTATAGCCAATCACTGTGTAGCGTGTAGGGAATAGAGAGATACAAAATTACTGATACCCAGATTTCCATTTTCTTCTTCAATCATCATCCAGTTATCAATGATACAAGTCTACCAAGCCATGATTGTTATCTCAGATAGTCAAATACAGATAATAAAATTATTATTGTCTATCAAGCCGGTCAACTTCTTTTGACAACTTATTCAAAAAAACCAACATTGTT